TCACCACACCTGCATAAGTCTGTGAATGCATGGGAGGGTCCCTCACCACACCTGCATAAGTCTGTGAATGCATGGGAGGGTCCCTCACCACACCTGCATAAGTCTGTGAACGCATGCGAGGATTTTGTATCAACCAAGTTCATTACAAACAAGGAAATCAGCAAATCACTTGGAAAGTGGCATACCTCAGTTATTCATAATGCGGATGATTGAACATACATGTAAACAGATGTCGCATGATATATCCAAATTATTTGACATGAGCCCAGTTACATAAAGCTAAAAAACAATGAAGACAATGGCGCTGTCACTCCGACAGCCTGTTCATTTGCAGATTTTGTGCAGGAAACTGAAGACATTTTGGCGAGTAAACAGCAAAATTAGACTTCAAATACTTGTCCATGCATAGGGTCATATTGGCACCATTCATCAATTTCACTTTTCAAAGAAATTACATAGATTTTTACTGTGTGCCTGCTGATAAGTATTTCCAACTACATGTACCGGTATATGTACATGTACAAAGTGGAGAAGTACACTATACTGTCCATGTCCATGGACATTATCATTGTCATTGTCCTATGGACAATGACATGTTCTCACATTGATGATTGCAACATCACTCCAAACTTCAGTCCAGCTTGTAAAGTTCAGTCTTGTACTCGTATGCGATGGTAATTTTTTGCCGTTTCTCTAGTAATGCACAGTCTTCCAATCTGCATGTTGAAAAATTTGTCCCTGCAATTCTTCTGTTCCTAAGAAAAACCTGGTTACGATACTCCCCCTTGAAGAAAATAAAATTTGCCATTGAAAAAATGTCTGGCACCTGTCCTCTACTGTCAAGTAAATGGTACAAATAGACATGTCTGCAAGGTGCACCCATAGGGAGAAGCTTGCAGGTCCTGTATACACCTGTGATGTATAATTAGCCACAGAAGAGAAAAATAATATCTGTATATGCAAAGATTAATGTTGTATTTAATTATGATAATAATAATGGCCATTTATAAAGCGTGAAACATATCCACTACGAGTGAAGGTGCTCAAGGCGCTGTTATTACTATCCCTGCGCATGGGATTATGGCATACATGTAACTGTACATCCATGCATTTAATATTATAAACGCGAATACAAGTTTATTGGATTGTTAGTTTTTCCCAACAACCCCTGCAAGTTTCTTATTTACTATGCAATACGAAACAAAACGTAACAAAAAAGCCTAAAACAATGCCCGAAAAATACAACTGAAATAAAATCAACTTGTAATAAGACAATAAACCCTCTGCATCAAACCCATAATGAGAAAAAAAAACCTNAAATTAGACATGTCAGAAGCTACTTCACTCACAAACTAATTTCACTGATATAGAAGAATCCCAGTCGTCCATTTTTAGTGCTAATATGGAGGTCCTTCATCTCCAGTGCCAGCTAACTGATGCTGACTTTATTCAACTGATTTAGTTCAAGATGAAGGTGATCCAACCTTAATTTCGTATGACAGTTTTAAGTCAGTGGTGCCAAGTTATGCATGACAACTGAAATGCTACGGAGGTACAGGTGTCATTACTGAAAAGAATGTTGCTTCTACTTTTAAATGATGTCCTGTGCTTAAGGCTGGTACATGCACAGCTTGACCATGAGAATGCACAAACCAAAGAACTCAGGTGTAGCTTTTACTAAGACAAGGTATTTCTTTTTAACATGCTGTGTGTAAGAAATGCACAGGTGGTGAAATACCCCTTGTGATAGTCATGAAGATCCTGTGGGTGTTTTGGCCATGTGTATGGTCAGGCTTGGATTAAATATGTAAAGCAGAGATACTGAGATGTTAATAACATGCATATAATTATATTGAAATAAAACTTTGTCAATGGTCAAACTTCTGATGTGATTTATTAAATTTTTCAAACCCCCAGTTTTATCATATTTTTCCTCTTTCCCCAGAAAATATACAAAAATCAAACCAAAAGCAAGAACTTCAAAGAACAAAACAAAAACATAAAAAAACAACTAAAATTCATAGCCCAAGATCCTTCTAGCATATTGTTGAATTGCCCTCAAAGCAAAAAAAAAGTAAAAGGTGAGACTTATGCAAATGAAATCAAAATGGACATGCATATTCAAAAACTACCTTGAGGTTCCCGCCCCCTGGTGTATGGTATGAATTGTCTAATGAGCCTACACGGCTCCTAACATACATGCTGATGTCTAACTTCTGATCAAAAATCTGCAGGATTAACGGAAAGTATGTGACAAGAATTGATTAGGATCACTGCTGTACTTGCCGATGGAGAGGGTATAATGCATCGACGGATCGTCCCTTTGAACAAAAACAACAGGAAAAATCAATGTGAAGAAAAGGTCTACGTGCAAGGCAGTGTTTAAATGTCATTCGGTTGACTGAATTTGCGGATATAAATCTCACAATGCTAAGAACTGAATTCATGATAATCTAACAATTTTCACATGCTTTTTCTTTGGTCAGTTTTCAAAATGACAGGATTTTACTGGACACTTCAGTGTCCACATCAATGGCATTTGTCTCCTTGTGTGTTTTCTACGTATATTCTAGAACCAATTTTGTTCAGAGAACATGTAAATGACTCTGGATGGAATACATTTCATGCTTTACCCTTTACGTTGCCATCCTTGATAATTAACAGTCTACACAATCCTTTACCTGTTGGAGGACCGAGGATTGTTAGAGTTAATGGTCAAGAAACATCAACTCTATAAGCCTATTTGTTTCACATGGATCTGGGTCGCGATCAGTTATCCCATAGTTGATTCGCGCTATCCATTAGACAGGTTCTGGCTGGCGTCCATGGACCAACCTCAGATTACTGATCACAATCTGGATCCCCACGAAACAAACAGGCCCTCCCCCCATGTGTATGCTTTTCATGTATTAGGCCTACTGCAAGGTGATGGTTTGCAAACATTTGGTGTTTCAGAAGCAGAGTTTGTTTGTTAACTGGGGATCGGTAGGTCTATCTTGGAGATCCTGAAACCTGTTCTGCATCTGCAAGAAAACAAGTCTCACAGCATGTGGAAAGGCGTTAATTCTCCATGTTTGAGCATACATGTAGCTGCGATAAATGCCGTCAAACAAAGTTCACGATAAAAAAGGCTGCTGACATGAGTGCTCACAAACAATTTAACTTTACGGTTATTGGTGTAAAATCAAGTTCAAGCTAAACGTTAGTCTAAAGAAACCACATTACAGAGTTGTCAGGAGTTGGAGAAATGATCTGACAACCACACAAAAAAGCAAGGCTCCATCTAAAATTTAGCAAAGTGCAAAAATTAGTAGGGTGACATTAGAGGGGTTAATGCAAGCTCTTCAAAGTAACTGGTACCAAAGATGCTTGTGTAAGCAGGTTGATGCCATGAAACACAAGACTGCTATCAAGGGGTTGGAAATGTAATATTCCAGTTTGTGTTGCATCTCAACTGATACTCGGTCAGACATATAAAAATTACAATACAATTGGATAATTGTATGATGCCACATAACGGTACTTCCTAGCAAAATAATTTCACTTGATGACATTTTCTGCATTGTGTAGCGGGCTGAATTTTGATTCACTGTCCAAACAATTCTCCGTTTCAAAGCACATTTCAGATTTAAAATATTCGCTAGATGATTTCAAAGTCAATTCATATCTTTAGAATCCGCTTCTTCAATGTTCCACATTTTGATCAACCTCAAAGGAAATACAAAGGCATAACTATGGTAACCACGGTAATGTAACCACTAGTCAAACCCTTATGTTATCGGTTAGCCCAGGCCACGGTCTTACATGTACATGTACAGTGGTGATGTCATGACTTATCCTACACCCCAAGTGCTAAAGCTGGCCAAATTTATATCTACTGAACTGCTTTTTCCAACTCACAGAAATCACTGCCTAACAACTGCAGACCAACAACTCTTTTAAAAAGCTGACCCAGCCCACTGCAAACAAAGTGCATTCACGGATGCGAGATCACCTTCTGACGAGGGCGTTTGAGCTTTTGGGGCCCAGGCCCTGCACTTTTGGCTCTGCGTCCATCCATGTCCAGGAGGGGTGGGGTTAGGGCAGGGGACTTGTTATCAGGGTCCTGTTTGACCATTGTTATGCAAATAACGAATGTAGAGTTCTTGCTCCTGTCACTATCAGCTTGCTTCTGGAATTGTTCATGAAATGAGGGGGAACAAGACATTTTGCTGAGTACTCGTCTGACAAACCTGTAGTTAAGGCTATACCTTACAAAGAAAGGGTTACTTTGGAAGTAAGGTGTTATGCGGTTACTAATTTAACACACTGTTATGAAGCACCAGTAAAAGAAATCAGCCAAGAAATTGTCTATGAAACAAAAATTAATTAATACAAGGTATTAAAAAAAAGAAAAATTTCAGTTTAGGAAGAATGCCGTGTCTGAGGAAACTAAAAGGGTTTTGAGATATTAGTAGTGGGATGTCCACTGTGGTGGCACAGGTATTCTGGCAGTATTTTATTTCGATCTCACAGAACTTGGCCAATAAGTCATCTCACAATTTGTCTCACCATCTTTTCATAACGAGGTATGCTTACACAATTTTGAATTCCACATTGAAGGAATTACGAATGAATACTGAAGGAAAACAAAAAGAGTAATGAACAAAAACAAAACCAAAAAATGAAATCTACAACTATAATCATGCATTTTTAGTAAAACATACTACATTTTCCTCTTTTTTTTTTGCAGTCCATAATTTTGCTACAATGGATACATGTAAACCACAGTGACTCAACCAATGCGTACCTTGACATTTCCACCCCCGGGTTTGTGCTTGGAATTATTCAGGGAACCGCATCTCGACTGTACTGTGCTGAAATCAACCTTTTCTGACTGTATCTTCACCTGTAGGCAAAATGGAACAGTCTAGGAATCAACACTTCATTTGTGGTTGTGTTTTCCAAATGGGTACTTTTCAATGTCAGCTTTTGGCACACCTTTAATGTTTTCATTTTGAAAAAGGCAAAGTGCAGTACATACACTGCATGTATACTACCCACACTCCAAAAAAAAAAAAAAATTAAAAGTCCGAGAAAGTGCAAAGTACTTGAAGATGTCAAAGTTGTTATGGTCAGGTAGAAACAGTGAGAAACTAGCCAGCTGTAGTCATTATGACTGCAACCCAACAATCGGCGGTGAGGCATAGGCTATTGTGCGACAATCTTTCAGTCACATCTGACCAGCAGTGGACATTTCTCCTAACACTCTCTGATAAGTACTCCATATTGGAGCATCCTTCACAAATTTCATAACGCAGTTTCAACACCAAAGTGCAAATTACCCATCATTCTTCTTTTTCCGTTGGGTTCCGTGTGGAACATACAGTACCGTAGGGCCTACATTACCCATCAATGTTCAAGGTAAAATATGTGTACTTTGTCAGTCATTTCTGTGTAACCCTGCATGCAATTGATAATGTAAAAGGTAAACAATCTTCAGGAACAGGGCAATATAATAGTTTTCCTTCTATTACATGGGAGATGTTTCAATGTTCAAGCATTGGGGTGGAAGCGAACAGAAGAGAACATCCTAACGACCTGTGACGAAAAAGCGACCTGCTCTTGCAATGATAAGTTGATGACTTTTTTGGGAGAAGAAAAACCGTGTGGCGAGTTTCTCTGTCACGAGAGGCTGAAATGAATGCACGTGGAATTTTTTTTCCTTCAGACGTGAGCCTGGTGCTGGGCTCATTTAGAAATCCCCTTTCCAACTTTCCTTCCTCACCTTGCCTCCTCCTGGGGTGTGCTTGAGGTTATCTTTGGAGCCAATCTTGGACTGAACATTCTTAGTGTTGGGGAGTGGGTTGGGCGCTGTCTTGATACGAGGAGATGTGGGCTCCGAAGAAGCTGGATAACAGGGAAGATTTAAACAAAAAATTTGATTTTTTTTTCAGACCAGTCATGTTTTTAGAGAGCATACTGAAAACATTTGTGTATCTGGCCATCTCTTGTCTTTGTTAATTCAATATGACTTTAAAAAAAAAAGAACAACGCCAATGCGGTCAATGTGGTCAAAGTGGTCAATGGCTAGATGTAATGATAAGAACATATAAAATCTTTTGTATTGTAATTGGTATTGTAAAATGAAACCAACTCTTACTGGATCTCCTGGGGCTGGTCTTTCCACTGCCGATATCACTTCTTGCTTTGACGTGAGAGTAGTCCATTTTCTGGTCAAAGATCTTGACATTGCCACCTCCTGGCTTGTGATTTGAGTGGCTGATGGTACGTGGCTTGACTCCAGACATGTCGAGCTGTAGAGACGAGAAACCAAAGTTTGAAGTCGTTGACCCTAACCTTCCCCAACCACACAGAATTGAACACCAGTGAAGTGTGTGAATTTGTGGCACTGGGTATTGTACCCCTAAACTGCTTTAGCTTTAACATGGGTTCAGGCATACCCAAAATAAACAAGAGTCCAACAGTATATGTGCACAGTTTACCATATGGTGTTGGAATTTGTGTGAATGGGTATGGTTCCTAGTAAATCACTCTGGGGAGTCAGGGTTTAACAATGAGAACATTTACAAAGTGCAGCCATCCATTCTAATATGCCACACAATTCAAAAAGTTCAGTATGAAGCCTTGCGAATGTGCTCCACTTTAATGCAAAACACTTCAAGTTGAGTGAAAATAACATGTATCACCACTTGAAAACGCAATATATTTCTCTGCTATGGATGAGGTTGAACTTGGATTTTCGACACAGTGAACATGTACACTTACTTTAATTTCCAGAATGCCTTGTGGATTTGACCAGCTTTAAAACCCTTTTCAAAAAACAATCAGTTATTCTATGCAGACAAAGTTGCTGCTTAGCAATTACAATGATGGACTCCTTTTTGTGCCACTGTGAGATAATTAAGGAGGAACCATTTTTGCGAAAATGTCAAAAGGTACCGTATTCCTTCTGCTCGAGAGAGCTACAACCACCTGTCTTCCATTTTAGGGGGATGTGACCTGACGTTAGAATAGAAGTTATGCTTCAATGTATCCTCAGAAGGCTCGAGTAAACCTTTTGTGCATTCCTTGTAACTAAATCAAAATAACAAAAATAGCCCCTGAGACACCATGGAGGCACCATCAAAGCATTCATCTATATATTATGTGCGCATGATAAATGAGTTTTATTTTAGAAGGCCTTCCAAAATTATGCACAATTTGTGTCTGTGTGGCTACATGCGAACACGTGATAATTTCAGGACGACACATTCAATAGAATGAGAACTATCAACTGTCAACGATTCTGTACATGTTTCTGTACATGTTTGTTTTATAAACAAAAACAATAAATAATGAAATTTACATCCTGCAAATTCTGTGTTGACATACTCAAATGCACTGTAAATACATACATAAAATAGTTACTAGAATTACTAATGTAAAAGAAATAGAATGAATTAAAGAAAAAAACCATTCCAGTACATATTCCTCACCTTATTGTCAACGATTTTCACGTTTCCACCACCACCTGCCGTGTAGTTGTCCTTACTGCTGTCAGCTCTTCCAGTGCTTGATTTGATCACGCAGGAGTTAGGTCGCGGGGAGATGGTGCTCTTTGGCGACCGCTGCTTCACCGTCTCCTCATAGGAACCGACGGACCTCGGTCGCTGCTTCAGCGAGGGTATCTTTGTGGGCGTTCCCCTACGCGGAGATTGGGACTGCTGAGGGGAGGTCTTCCCCTGTGGAGAGGGCGGTGGGATCTGGGAGGGGGAGGGGACTCGGTTGGTGATTCCCTGGGGTTCCTTAGGCAGGGATTCGGGTTTGAAAGCTTCGCAAGGTGCCGCGTCCGGCTCTCCTGGTTAAAATAAGGTAATCACACGGTAATTTTAACACATGTGTGAAATCCAGTGAAACCAAACATTTCTAAAAAGTGCCTGTTCTTTATAGAAATCTGTGAAGAGAACACAAGGATGAAGAAATACACGTAGCAACTTGAAAGTACGGGAGAAAAACTCTTGTTAAATTTTCAGGGAAACAGGGAGAACACTGTCTGGACAATATTCAAAACTGTAAACCAGTAGATAGCCATTTGTCTAGTGCATTTGAAGTCTATGCAAATGGCCAATACAGGTTGTATACAGCACTCCATCACCTCAGCTTTCATCGTGAGCTTCTTAGATTAATTCCATTATTTATGTATTAAACTTCCATGTACCAATACGCACTCTGTAAAAACACCAAGGGCACTCCACCATCAAATATGAAAAAGATTACTCTAGCTTATACTCATAGTTCAAAGAGGCAGGTAAGCACATCATCATGCAATGGGAGACTTTGGGACACTTGGTGACAGCACAAACCTGTACATACTGGTCCTTGTTATGCATTGTTCTGAGCATGCGTGCATGGTTATGCGCACGTGCAATACTGTGAAAAAGGTCTGCTGCCACCAGTGTCTCAAAGTCTACCATTGTAGCACACTAGTAAAGTAATGCAGTTACCGGTATCTGGCAATGTTTGTATGTCGTTAGCTTGTGAATAGTGATTGATGAAATTCAAACCTTCAAGTTTAAAGTGTTAGAGCATTTCTTCAAGTGCTACACTCATCACACTATTAAGCCTAACCATGCTGAACCCATCAAGGTTATGCAGGATTTCAATTGTCCCTGCCTAACCATGCTGAACCCAACAAAGTTATGCAGGATTTCAATGGTCCCTGCCTAACCATGCTGAACCCAAC